ATCAGCAGGAATCTGGGAGAGCTGAACTCATTAACAAGAGGAGATTTTATTTTGCTTTAAGGGCAGAAAATCTCTATGTTTAACTCCTCTGCATTAGTAGCCAATTACACGGCTGAAAAAAAAATGACCCGGGGTAGTTTGGTGTCCAAGGTTGTTTGTGCTGACATTCTGCTTTTCAAATGCCAGTCTGTTAATTATGCAAATGGACTACAGGGCCCCTGTATCAATATATACACTGGTTCATTTATGTGTGCACACTTCCATATATCCTTTAAGTTATTAGACACACTCAGCCCTTGTTTCAATACAATGAAAAACTTAACTATGAAACAACTGCTTCAGCTGCAGAAAGCCTCGCTCTCCAGTATCCCTTTCAGACTCTCAGGCCTTCACTCTCCTCCCCTGTCCTCTTTTTGTGGTGCAGCTCTTTGCATGGCGATGCTATGCAACACTGGCCAGCTTTAGAGAAGGCAAGTCCACATTGCATTAATTCTGAGCAGAGAGAAATCCAGTATCAGACGTAATGGGTTTGATTCCAAAGCCCTGGGGCAATGTTCTGCGCTGCTGTAATGGTGGTGGGAGTCGGCAGAGATCCTGCACTCATCAGAATGCTGCCTAACACACACACAAACACACTCTCTCTTCCTTCCCATGTCTGCCCTCTGCTTTTTCCCTTTTTGTTTCCTCTCCCTTCATCTTGATCTGTCCATTTTTCTTGTGCCTTGGATGACCAGAGGTATACTCCACCCTGCCTCTGACTCTTCCCAACCTCAGTGCCATGTTGTTCCTTAATCACTGTCACTAAACAAGGGGCTTTGTCCCCAGCAGTTCTCAATTAAGGGTCTGCTGTGTATTCTCAGATGGGTAATTGTTTCCTTTTTTTAAGACAACATATGATTGGACAAGACAGTAACAAACTAGTTGTCTGCTCTGTCACATTGTAAATGAAAGAAATCCATTGACTAACTATCAAAAGAAACAAATATACTGTTGGTTAATTTAAACACAAGCGCAATTTGATGTTCAATGAAATATCTGACCCATATAAAATAATGAGGTGCACCGGGTTACACTACAACAGGTAAAACACCATAAAGTGCTGTTTAACCTAGAGGAACCCTGTAAAGCTTGCAGCTGCATGCTTTATCATGCATTTAACAACTTTAGCCTGGTGTTTTCTTTTTAGGAATGGAGGCAGGTATAGGATCATTGGGGTGGAAGTAAAGCTTTATGGATCTTTGACGACAACATCCTCAATGCTTTTTGCCATTGGATAGATCTTCTGCTTTTTCCAGCCATTTCACAAACGCAGAGACTTTGGGGAAAGTCATGAAACAGAAGTCATGAAACAGTATTCAAATATATTTTGAGTCTTAAGTTATAGCCTGAATAATGTGTTTGTACTGACAACAGCCGTGTGTGTGTTTTCCATATAGTTTTGGGAGAGATTACACCTTCTGCCACATGCCCCAGCAACCTAAAAATGGAGCTTAAGCGCCTCTAATGTTGCATAACCAAAACACTGTCCCCTGGCTGCCCCCCCTCTCCAGCATCTGCAGAAAAAGAAGGGTTTCCCTGTGCTTACCACGAAGAGGGGGAAGCATAAGTTTACAACTCTCTCTGTCTACTGATGCTCACCTTATTATTGTGATGTATGATGAGGGAAAAGGGGGGAGAGCAATGGCCCCTGCCTCCTCGTTCCCTATCCATGAACAGCACGCAGCTCAACTGACGGTGAGGTAATTACGCTATCATTATGATAAGCATTTGTGCACATGTACACAAGCATGCTTATTCTTAGACTACATAAACACAGTCCTCGACACACCAGATGGGGTCCCCAGTGTCTTTAGCCTGATGGCTCCCTTCCTCCATACATCACCCCTACACTATCTTGTCTACTTTGCACTCTTTCTCCATGCCAACTGGTGAATTCCAGTCTTTCAGAAAAACTTTCCAGCTCTGGACCATCTTGTGCATCTGCATACAGTATGTGTGTAAGAGAGAGCGCATCTGTTTGCATTGTACGAAGAAGTGTGTGTCTCTACATGTACGTGCACATGTGCATATAGTTCCTCTGTGCATGGTTATCCTCACCATTAACAGGGCCTGTTAAAAACTAGTCTCTCACTATAGCGTTTGTCCTCACATGTTTTAGAACAGCAAATGAGTTCTTTTCTAAATGGCAAGCCATCTATATACAATGTTGCCCATAAAGTTGGAATAAATGTTGTTTTCAGACACATTCCTCTTTTAATTTCTATTTATACACATCAATAATCACTGTGACCAGGTGCAATGATCACATACTGAGTCCCAGTTACCAGGTGAAACCAATTCTGACTTCAGGATGTGACTGAAGAGTGGGATGTCCTGCCCACTGACACTATCAACAAGCTGGTTGACAGTATTCAATTCAATTCAATTTTATTTGTATAGCGCATATTTACAACAACAAGTCATCTCATAGCGCTTCACAAAGGCAGAAACAGAAACACCCAACAATCCAAAACATCTGGATTCCCTATAAGCTTCAGCAGTCCGCAAGCAGTCCACAACAGTGGGAAGGAACCGAAAACCCCCACAGGGGAAAAAAAACCTCCGACAGAACCAGGCTCAGGGAGGGACGGCCATCTGCCTCGACCGGTTGGGTGGATGTAGGATGAATTATACAGTGTAGTTTACAGTTAAACAAGTTATTAGAATTAAGTATGCCGTGATGTCTTAACACATTGATCCTTGTCAGGGGTGGTCATACTCAATATTAGTGACTGAGTGACATTTGAAAGAGTAACATTGGACATTCTTGTGCATGAAGTCCCCTTGAATATGGGTTTGCTGTTAAAATGACCAAAGTCGAAAACTTCAAACAAAACCCTTAATCCTATTGTTCAATACCCCCAATTCTGTTTCATCCTGAATACACCGTTTGCAAAAGTTAATTGTAGTTTAATTTTTACTGTCATACGTATTGTGTGTATATTGTAATATCAATAAAGTTTTGAGAAGCTGTACACTTCTTCTATCAAGAAAAAATCGCATTGTTGCAATCATTTCACGAGAAGAGGTAAAAAAATATTTAATTCCAACTTTATGGGCAACAGTGTATACATGTAACATTTTGAGAGAACACATTATTCACTTAATGCCAAAAGTTAGACAAGTGTTCACACAGCCTTGTGAATTATTTTGTTGATTGTTTGTGGGGCACCCCTATAGCTCACCTAGTTGAGTGGGAGACCCATAAACAGGGGCTACAGTCCCCGACGCAACAGTCATGGGTTCAAGTCCCGTTCATGACCGTTTGCAGCAGGTCCTCCCCAACTCTTCTCCTCGCTGTCCTGACTAATAAAGGCGAAAAGGCCAGGTGTGATTTTCATGTAGGTGTGTTTGCACACTTCTGTATTGACACTTTTGCTTAATTTACTTAAGGATCTAAACACTTTGTCCATTCTGCCATTTTTTTGCAAGCCTTTGTGAGTAGCCGTACAAGCAGGTTGCTGTATTATGATTTAATGATATTATGATTTATGATAAATGATTGTAAAATATGATTGTAAATATTTTGTAAACATTCAAGAAAATAAGGTTTAAAACAAGTTGCGTGGATGGTTTTGATGCAGATAATGTAAGTTAAGCATATTAAGCACAGGGGAATTATATGGCCTTAAATAAATGCAGCACTGGTAAAGGCTTGAGCTGAAAGAACAAAAGCAACAGCAAAGGCTTTAAAAAAAGATCAGCGAGGTTAATAAATGACTATTTTTAGGTTCTTGAGATGCATCCATCTGAAATGTGTGAGTCCAGAATTTCTAAATATATGGATGACTGTGAAACTCCTGATTTTTCCATACACAGTAGCTTGTACTAAAGATTTACAGGTGAAACTAAGATCCCTGGAGTCTGGTTAAGACATCAGATAAGCCTTTAAGGTCTGTTTCATGTCCTTGGCAAGCACAACGCTTGTTGCTAACTGTAACACAATAGAAAGGGGAATTGGCTACTATATAAAGTGTGGAAATGGTGTCATTTCTGTGGGTTAGGTCATTGGACATGAACATGGCAGCGTTACTGAAGAGAGCCAAACTAGAATAGGTGCCCCTGTTTCCTGCCATCCTTCCACTCAGTGCTCATATACGTGTGTTGATGAATTATTTATAGTAATAGATACCAAACAGAAGCTGGAGGATGGGCATCTTTTCCATGAGAATAAACAAGAGAAATTATACACCATTCAAACGTGAAGCCGGTCTATAAATAGCAACCGTTATTTATTTTTTATTTATTCTCTTTTTTTTCCGTCCTTCCTTTCCGGGGGGGGTTTTGTTTTATTGTCTCGGGGATATAGTTGCAGTTTTACAGGTCAGACTGATCTTCTTTTAAGACTCTGCATGGAGATGTAGGGGACATCTCTGGGGTGTTGTCCCTGCTCTTTGAAAGAAACTCCTTTAATCTCATGAAGCAAGAGAGCATCTTATGAAGAAATGTTGGTTGAATGGGAGGGCTTTGTAGGGGCTTCACCTTGAAGTAAGTGACAGTGTCAGGCTGTCTGTCACGTTAGGGGTCAGCTCCGAGCAAAGCTTCAGACTGCTCAAATTTCAGCTCAAAAAATGGTATTAGATGCATGACATAAAAATAAATAAATAAAATGAAGGCGTCTGCAGATGTCTACTGTTACTCTGTGTCCCTGAACGCTTTCTCAGGAAATAATGGTCTCCATAAGAATTAATCTCGGATCCACACCACTACAATGGCAGGCGGCCAACTGAGTGATGTGTGCGGTTTAAACGGCCCCCGCATCCTGCCCGCTTATCTGGAGGTGTCCCGATAACCGCTCGGCTCTCTACTCATCTTGTCTGGCTGTTTTTTTTGCAGTATTCAAGCCCTCCTCCATCTCTTCCTCCTCTTCCTCCTCCTCCTCTTCCTCTTCCTCCTCCTCCCCTCCCTCTCCCAGTAAGTTCGATGTGATCGGCTCTGGGCCCTGCCGTGAGTTCTCGGTGCGGGCGACAGCGCTGCTGAACATGGCGTCAGACGGGATGATTTTAACGAACCACGACCACCAAATCCGGGTCGGAGTCTTGACAGGTAAAAGCAGAAATGCCCATCGGCTCTTTCATATTTCCATGAATTCTTTTCCACCGGCAGTGCGCACGGACCTTCATACATGTCGGCTGGATTTTGCGTGGCGGCGGCGGCGGCGGCGGCTCTGGGTCTCTCCGTGGTTTTTTTGCAGCCTCTTGAAGGCGACGCTGATTAAAGGCTTGCATTTTTCTCTCTCTAGCGGTATGCAATCGTGTTCTTGCTACATGACATCCAGTGCTTATGCGGTTGAAGCGGTAAATGTGGGTTCTGCATCGGTTTGTGTCCGCTTTCTTGTCGAGCCGTTCTCCCTGATGAAGAAGAAGCGCTCAGTTTATGTGTGTTGAATAATTCATGCCGCTATCTGCTTGTCAGAGCTGAAAATTACAGCTGACCGTGTGTTGTGTCGCTGCTAAGGATGCTCGGGCTATAGATTGCATTATTGACAGCCAGCTGACCACAGCGATTTTGAAGTGTTGCTCACGACAGTTGCTGAAGGTGGATGTGCTGCTGCTGCTGCTGCTGCTGCTGCTGGTGATGAGCGCATCCTTGGCCTAACAAGTGCAGTGGATTATGTGAGAACATTTGTGAAAATGCGTGTAAGACGTCGGATGTGCCTTATTTTGTGAATGATAGTGCTTGAACGAGAAGTTGACATGACAAAATGATGAGGGCTCTGGCGGCTCTGTGGGGCTCAACATACGGGTGAATCCTCTTGACGCGATGACGGCGCGTCTTTCACTTACCAATATCGGAAACCTGATCCGCTCGAATGCAATGTGCGGCTATGAGGTTAGCTGTGGTCGCTGCCGGCCTTCGTTTTCCCTGTATGTCAGTTTGTTGGTTAAGCCTGCTGCTTTGTCATGTTTTTGATTGTCAAACGGGCAAAATCACGGGATGTAGACGGAGGGAGGATGGCGATGGTGGGGTGAATGCATGATAAAGGCTGTCCA